AGCCTAACAATAACTATTCGGGAAAGAAATCTTACCATGGGAACGGAACTCCCAACGGCCCTTCGAGAGTTTGCTCCACGAGCGCTCGGAGTAGGGCATCTGTGAGACAATACCTTCAACCCACTCTTTGAGTCGAGGGACAATATTTGGAACTCGAGTGACAGTTGCATCACCACGAATACCAATGAGAAAAAAAAAGATGAACACGAAATCAGCATTCGAGGGAATGTTTTACTTACGTGATATACATTCCACTTCTTAGGGAATGGTCTGAATTCGGCCAGGATCAAATTCGAGGACCTCACCCGGACAAAACGACCCTGCCAGCCTCTATCCCAGTCCTCGTCGATGGTCAAAAATAGGGTTTTGCTGGCCCAGTGTACAAGCTTTATCAGTCCTCCCGGAAGAATCGGGGACTGTAAAAACATAGCAGATAATCGATGGTGAAGATGCACGAAATTTTATTCACAAAAAATCGGAGGAGGATCACGATCCTCCACAATGAAGGGTGAATTTGGCCGAGGCATGCGTTATACCTCTTGCAGAAGTCCAAGATGACCGGATCCACTGGGCCTAATATAAAAGGATAAATTTAAATACTCAGATATTCCTCGACATGGGTGGTAATGGCTTCTTCGGAGTCGGGGACCACGATGTCTTTATCGGCCCAATTGCAGTCTTTTCGGACCGTGGGGAGATCCTCTTCGGTGATTGAGCAAATGTATCTCGAGGCATCCTCACGCCGACCTTGTACTTAATAAGGCTTCTCGACCTTGAAGTCGTTAGCGATCGAACAACCTCCGGGAATGAACATCTTCATGGGAGGTTCAGGAGCTGGTTCATCGATAGCCACGTTAGCAACAGGTCTCTCGAGGTCGACCACATCAGAAGTAGTTTCGACAATCGTTTGGGAAGTAGAAACGACCTTTTGGGGAATAGATTTTGAGATTTTTGCCATTGTTATAGGGGAAATCTTGAAAGAGATAGAGAAAGTTTGAAAGCTGGAAGCTAAGATGTGTTGGCTAGAATGGATGATGAGTAAAAATTTCAAAGGAATCTCGAACAACCGAGGTAAAAATGCTAGAACGTGAAAAAGAGTAGTAAAATCCTGAAGGTGGGAGGGTAGACGGTTCAATGTAAAGTAAAAAGTGAATGAAAGAGGGGTTATTTATAATGGTTTCGCGACGCTTCACCTCCAGGGACAGCCGACTAACGGCTGACGTGCATTTCATGCCACTATGACATGACTGACGAGGCGTTTCGGGCTTTTTGTCGTTTATGACACGATGTATTGGAGAAGGAATCGAGATGCTCATGTCATTTTTCGTCATCTCGCTTTCCGAAAAATGAGGGGACTATCTGTATACGGGTAAAAATCGGGCTCATGATACACTACGGCCTCCATTAGGGCAAAATGGGCTCAAAGATGATCGCGAAGGATCGGGATCGAAGTAAAGGTCTCATCGAGTTAGAATCCGGAGTACGTTGTGTGCCTTCGAAAATATCGAGGTCATGAGTCGAGATCGATCCAAAGCAATATACTACTATTTTCACTGTTATTGTAAGCTTTTTCTCTCGTTTATCAAAGTTGTCCACGGTGAGCCCGGATCAAGGGTGAATGCTTCACTGAGGCTCGAATCATCCTACTCGCGTGGTTTGAATTTATTGTATCTTTACTTGTCCATTCTAACTCAATTTATCATTTTATATCAAATTAATCAGCATATCCTCAAAACCACTTACAAATTTAATTGTTTTCCGATTTTGAGGATAAACAATACCTAATACAAAACAATGAAATACTATGATCCGCTAAGATTATTTGCTCAACAGTTCAAATAAATGGAAAACTTTATATATCCATTTTCCAAGGGGAAAATCACAAGCAGATGCAGTTCGACGTGCTTTCAATAGCCTGTTTGGCCAAGCTACAAAAATCAATTTATTTTGAGAAGTGTTTTTTCTTAAAAGTACTTTTAGTGAGAAGCAGTTTGTGTTTGGCTAATTAATTTGAGAATTACTTCTGAACAACAATTAGCGTTTGACCAAGCTTTAAAAAATTACTTCTAAATGTATTTTTCTCAAAAAAGATTTTCAAAAATGTGCTTTTAGAGAGAAGCTACTTTTTTTTACTTCTCCAAAAATACTTCTACTTCTCTTCAAAAATACTTTTTTCCTATTAAAAGCTTGACCAAATACCTTAATTTAAAAAAAATTACTTTTGCCTCAAAAGAAAAATCACTTTTGACAAAAAAAAAAATTCTTTTGCCTCAAAAAAGCTTGGCCCAGTCATAGCGAAAGCCTCGAGGACCAACTATTTCTCTTGTCAATCGTTTTCTTACGAGGGTCACTGAACTTTCATTTTATTTTTTTTAATTTCAACTCGTGAGCGACTTATTATTTACTTCAGTTGATAATGTTTAACTTCTAAACACACAACAAGGTAAACATTTGTATGCTTTCTAGTTTTTGAATTATTGTTTTATTTGACAAAAATATTTTTAACTCACTAATTGCTGAACAAAATTATGTGATGGTGATAGGTGTACTAATTAGCTCGATGAGCAGAGTTTAACTGGCTCTAAGTAGCTGTGGAATAGTCGAGATTGCCACCTGTGGAACATTCCCATTCTATTATTCGTTATAATAAAATTACCACAGTAATAAAATCGTGCCATTGTTGATGAGCTTGAGGACATGTTGGATTGCAATAAATACAATAAAAAATAAGACAATGATGCTTGCCTTTTGGTCGGTTACAACATTATCATTTCAAATCTTGTTTTGCCTAGGATTTCCCAATTACCTATTGTGAAATTCCAGAGGGTAACAAAAAAGCTAAAATCCACCTTGAATATATTCAAAGAACATCACTGCATTCTCTTAAAATCAGAACATTACAGAAATCCGATTAATATTTAAAAAACAAAAATCAAAACCGTTACTGAAAGTAACATTCATGATCGAGGGAAAAAAATCCGGTTCGAGCAGCTTGTTGAGCGGTTCAATTAAGCACCGGGAGCTGCATCTTTCACTTTACTATGAAGATATCCACCGTATTCTCTAGCGTAATCTTTCACATGGCTAGCCGTATCAGCAATCCGGCTTCTCGCGTAATCAACCCGGTCTGAACCGGGCGGGTGGAATCCCCTGAAATACCTATACAGCCAAGAGAGAGACGCCAAACTTGCGACCCCAAATCCACAGACAGATAAGAATCCAGCAATGGCTATGAATAGAACAGTACCAACAGGGACCCAGATGGGGCTAGAGATAAGGACCAAAGGTGTGAAGAAAATAAGACCCAGAATAATAGCCGTAAGAGTTAAGCCAGTGAGAAGGAGCAAGATTGCCCCGGAGATAATAAGGGTCAAGAATCCGACAAGTTGGGTTGAATTTGGGACATTTTCTTGTAATTTTCGGAGAAATGATGGGGTTGTTATGTTGCTGTTGAAACCTGTGGATCTGGTTTGTGGACGGCCGTAGCTGGGTTGTTGTTCAGCCATTGTTAAGAGGAGAAGAAATCGACCGTACTGTTTGTCTGAAGGGAAAAATGGGAGAGTTTCTTTAAGAGGAAATAGAAGAAGTTTAAGAAGAGGATTAATGGAGAAAAGGATGGGGGTGATGTGACACGTGTGAGGAGGTTGGAGGTTTGAGTTTTTGAGGGGAACATGCAAGAGCACACGTGGGGAGGAGGGAACACTCCTAGATATGCTTTCGGAAATTGGGAGACCTTTTCTCATTTGGAACGTTTAACGGCTGATATTCTCAAGTTTTAACCAGATGTATTCCTTAGAATTTGATTCATAGAAATATATTTAAGAAAAGTATCACAAAATAAATCAAAATAGTATGTTTAGAATTGAATGGCCAAACAAAGGTAAGAGTAATCAAGTAACATGTTTAGATTTGAATGGCCAAACAAAACTAGGGGAAGTAACTGCTTAGATTAAACTACTTCGCAAGGATAAAATAATTTCAAGAAGCCAAAGATCAATTCCAATGTCTATAAAAGAATCATTAGCAGAAAGATGCGAGTAATAAATATTATGAGAGCTGTAGGGAGAGAGACGTGCTTGTTTAGTCTGCCACATCCACATGATTGCAAGTTTTGGCATCTAATGGTATGACCTAATGATCAATTAAGGAGGTTCGAAATCGTAGATGTCAGGTTTAAATTTTAGTAGGCAGAAAAGATTATGTGATTTTCGTACCATTGTTCAAATTTTGGTGGATAGAGTTATCGATACCTCTATTGAATGAAGGTAGGAAATAACTGTTAGAATTAATTGAGATGCGTACAAATTAGTCGGACAACAAAAGTTTAAAAATAAAATAAAAGAAAAGATAATGATTGCAAGTTTTATGAAGGAACGATGATCTCACTCAGAAAACTGCTAATGAGCATGTCCTTTACCATGTTTCTCGGTACCTCTGATTCAGTGACATTTGCATTCTTTTGGCTCGACTAAGTAGAGTTTTCAACCTTGTCCTTCTTTTAAGCATTCAAAACAGAGAAGGTGAAAGGAAGCGAAAATGAAGTTAAAAGAGCATACAACAAGTTTATGCATTTTATAAAAGAAAGCAAACCTCTAACGGAAGCCTTATGCTTTTTGGCATAGCTGATACATAAAAGACAATGGTAGATGGATCACCTTATCCCCCCTTAATGCTTTTAATTTGATAACTAAAAGACATTGTTAAAAAAGATAGAAATATTATCATCGCATAAGGATCAAAATTGTATCACTAAAAGTGGCAATTTGTTGATGCATACACACATATTACAGTACAAAGTCTCTCATGGGAGTGTTCAGGCTGGAGTTCTTGAGATCATTGTGTGATGGTTTGGTGCTTTTCTTTTTTAACTGGTTTCCTGTGCAGCATGTTTACATCTTTGTATCAGATTTCTGCATCTTGAGCGACACACCATCGCTGGTTAAAAGATAAAATATACATAAAGACAAGTTCATGCTCCAGTTTGCACATTGAAACTAAAGTAGCTGCTAATTCAACCTATCAGTTAGCAAAATTTGATAACCACTACATTGTACTTGAAGAAAAAAATGTTATGTTGAAACATAGGCAGTACAATTCCTAAGAACATGAATTCATTGTCTTGGGTTAGGCTTCTCCCTATTCAAATCTGTACACTAACAAATCATAGATCTACATATTACAGAGAATAGAAGATGGACCTCTGATTGAAAGTTTATCAGCCATTCTATGGCCTCAATTTGGTCCTTCAGTTTCATCAATTTAAAACCTATCATGATTTCTGTTTCTTGTCGGAACATGTTGTAGTATTTTCAGCTGCTGTAGCGGTTGCCAATTCCATTAACCTCTCATAATCAACTTCAGTTGATTTATACTTCAACTTAAATCCGCCTAGCAACCATGACTTTACACAATGCGAAGCTTGGGTGCTCTCATAGGGTGTTGAGAACCTCTGCTTATCTATCTCATCACCTTTGCTACAGAATAGATCTTCAGGCGCCAATGCAGTTGGCTGTACAGCCAGAAAGTCCCGAGCCATCATCGATAGACGTGGGTAGCGCGTGTTGTTCACCTTCCACCATTCCAAGACATTTGTTGCTATTGGAGCGGGAGGCTCTGATAAATATTGGGTGAGCTCATCTGTGGCAGAGGACATACTTGACCTACGTTTCTTACGGGCAATTTCCTCTGCAAACGAAACACTCCCTCCATCTTCTAGCTCCTGTGCAGCGTAAGAACTGGTGATAGCAGAAAATTGGCTGCTGGAATAATTTCTTATGAAATAGCTTCTGGCTTCTTCCAAGTAATTTTCGGAGTTGAGATTTTCAGGAAGGAGCTCAACCTTTATTCTTGGATCAAGTATTGCAGTCATATATGTGAAGAGACTGCAAACCTGGTCGTTATAGCTTCGGACTTTTGTAGCCATTTCTTCAGCAGCACTCTTGAGCCAGTCAGGGCTGTGTCGAGAGTCTCTACAAGCAGCGATCATTTCAGAAATATGATCCATGAAGAAAAGAACCAAACCAACTGTTAGTACTTTGTTTGTGCATATGTCATTGATGGTTTTATAAAACGGTTCCAAATATACATGCATTATATTCACAGCATTCTTCTCCGCGGTGCTCAGGAGCATACTGCCTAGTTCATCATACTTCCGGACAATAGCTTCCATTGATTTACTTGCCTGCATGGCAAAATATAATTAAAGTCAATATTGATTCGTAGACTAAATGTAAAAGCAGAATCTATTTTTTGAAACTAAAAAAGAAATTTAAAAGCAGAATCTATTTTTCAAATCCCAGTTCTTGTCTTTCCTCCTTAAGATGGCCCTGGTAAATAACAAAATGATCAACAGGAACCCTAGGTTAAATACTCAAGAACCATGTTTGCTTTTATCTATTAGTAAGAAACCAACCCATAACTCAACAATGTTGGCATATCTATGTGTCTTATGTACAATTTAGTAACTAGCAGACATCCAATTGTAAATTGGATGTTAGTGAATGCTATTATTTTGGTTTTTTGGTATAAATAATTAAACAACGTGTAGAAGTTTTTTTGAATACGTTTTGCATTTTGAGAGCAAAATATTTTGAACTATTTGACTTTCATAATTATCAAAGTTCCTTTTCTTCTTTTTAATAGGTTTTGCATGTGGCTCATTATTTCTCTCCTAAGAGTTTAATGGAGGAAACCATAAAGAAGCTCAAAATGTTGCTCTCTTCTTCCTCAGTCAGGTGTAAGAATGATTTCAGTTAAGCATTGAGAACTTATCCAATAAAGACATGTTTAAGTTTTCACGTTAGGTATGCTCAAATTTTTGGGCAACAAATTTAAACATATTGTCTCATTTTCCATAAGATTGAACCCTCATTGTAGTCTTTTCAAGATAGCTTAACTTTTCAGGGTAAACTTTTATAAAACGGGTTATATGCATGTTTTTATATAATATAGGTTAGATGTGTGTATATAGGTTTGGTATAATATAATTTTGATGTATGTTTGTAACTTTTTATCTTGTTCTTAAATATTTACAAAAAGCTGGTAACTTGATATTGAGGAGCATATTTTACAAGAAAGAACAAATTCATGAAATGTCAAGAATCTTGTTCTTGATTATAAATAAGTTATATGTAGGGTGTGTTTGGTATAACGGAAAATGTTTTTCGTGAAAAATATTTTCCAAGAAAATATTTTCTTGGAAAACAAGTAGTAATCTTATTCACTTTCCAGTGTTTGGTACGCAAATTAAGGAAAATAACTTCTCAAGAGTATTCATAAATAATTTAGATACAATAAACATGAAGTCATAAACTTTCGAACCAACAACCTTTCGAACCCACAAATTTCATAAACTTCCGAACCGCTAAACTTTCGAACCCGCGAACTTTATAATTTCTAAACCCGTAAACTTCCAAACACATAAACCTCCGAACTCATAACTTTGGAACTTGTAAAATTTCGAACCTGTAAAACGAAAGATGAAAAAACTAAAACTGAAAATATATATAAAAAATATTTTTTATCCCGGGGTGCAGAAAAACGAAAAAACAGAAATTTGAAAATTACAAATAAAACTTTTTTTTTTGCGGGGTGAGGGTAGAGTGGGGTGGGTGGTGCTGAAAAACGAAAAAACAAAAATTTGAAATTACAAAAAAAATTTGAGGGGTTGTAGAGTGGGTGGTGGGAAAAAAAAAACTGAAATTTGAAAAAAAANTATGAGTTCATAAGGAAAATGTTTTCCAAAACATTTACGCTAACCAAACATGGGAAAATTAGAAAACATTTTCCGTTCATACCAAACACACACGTAATGTTTTTATATTGTTCTTAAGTATTTTCACAAGCAGCTAGTAACTTGAGATTGAAGAGAAAAATTTAACAGTAAAGAAGAATACCTTCCGCGCAATGTCTAACATCTGATAATTGCCACTCCAACGAGGCGAGGCATCAAGAGGGAATTTCCAATTGCCTTCTTGATAAGCATTGCAACATTGGAGAAAATCCTGAGAAATCTCCAAGGATGTATTCATCTTTAAGACAAACTCCCTTATTTTGGAGATTATCGACTTCGTAGATCTTAGTCCATCATTTATGATTGAATTTAGAGTATGAGCAGCGCATGGAAGATAGTAAAAGGAACTCATTTTCTGGTTGTCCATGTCTTCTTTGAGTGTATGGCATGCATGCAATGCAATTGGGCTATTATCATGGGTGCAACAAAGGACTCGGTTGTCAATATTATACAGTTTAAGGACCTTCAGTAGAGCATGAGCAATTTCAGCAGCCCCACAAGGAGAAGATATGTGACAAACATCAAGGAGCATCCTCTGAAAAGACCAATTTTCATCAATCCACTGGCAAGTAATACTCATATAGAGGAGTTGCTCGTAAGATGTCCAGAAATCAAGAGTTATAGAGACCTTGGAAGAAACACGGTCCACTATCACCCTTACATCTTCCTGCATGCTTCTAAAAACTTCACAAAGTATTGTTTGGAACTTGTCCCCCGGCCAAATTTTTATTGTCGGGCTGAGAAATTTAAATGAGTTCAAAAGCCAATGTTCGTCCAATGTAGAAGGAGGAAGAGATGAGAGAATAAGCCACTTGACGAGCAACCAGTTTAAATGATCAAGCTCCAACTGAGGTATTTTGGCTTGAGGTTGAGGTTGAGGTTGAAGTTGAAGCTTCTTGGGAATAGTGACCGGTTGTGGAGCAGGAGTGGCAACATTCACTGTTATATCATATCCTGGATGGCGATTGCTGAGATGTCTTCCCAAGTTGCCTTACAAAAAGGAATAAGAAAGTCTAGGTCTACAGATAATATCCGTATTAAGCATGATATCAGAACTAATTCACCAATATTTGGGTCAATGTTTCCATAATTCCGATTCTATAGATTACATTTGATGTAGTTATAAGTTCAGCACACTTGATTATCACTTCATGACCCAATTCTTTTTTCACCACACTGCTCACTTATTTAGCTGGAAATAAGAGTTTATTGTAAAGCTCACATAAAATTAAGCATTTGTCTCACCTTAGAGAGGCGAAAAGGTTTAGACAAGAGAAATTACCAGTGGCGGTTGCAATTGAATAACTTTGTCCACAAAATTTACATCTCCTAGTTTTCCCATCTGGAGCTGTCTCAAAGTACTTGAGATACACTGATGTCATGGTCTTTTTCCTTGGTTTTGTTATAGGAGTAGCATTCCCTTTCTCTGAAGTTCCAAGTCCCACATCTATACGTTCTACGTTTGGAAGGATTGTACTTGTAGCTTCCACGACGGCAAGGGATTTTGGTTCCATATCTGTTCCAGAGAGAGCGAAAGAGAAAGAGGATCATATAAACACAGTATATGCAATAAGCCAACTGAGGTCAAAGAGCTCTGTTAACAAGTCTTAATCTCAAGTCAATTGGGGTTGGTATATGAATCTTGTATATCCACTGCTCTACTCAGTATTAAGTACAAACAAGGAAGCAAGTTCCTTTCTGTTATTGTATTCAGAATGCTCTAAACAAATGAACATATTTACTATCATAGGAAAGAATATGCATGCAAAATCATACTGGATAAAAGAATACCTTTTAAGGTCTTATAAGCAGTGTTAACACTCCAATCCATCACATTCCCAGCTCGAGTTTTCCCACTCACTGTTCCTGCAAATTTCATACTTTAATAAATTCTTAAAAGAAAATTATAATTTGTATCATAAGAGTAAAGAGTCGTAATGATAAATACCTGGAAATTCATGAGACAGAGTAGAGATATCTATTGGTTCCAAAGCTTCAACTATCTGCAAATGAATTTGGAAAAAACAGAGGTTTAATAAAGATTTGAAGAAAGGGTTGCATGCATTTAGGGTTTAAGAAGAAGAGAGTGAAGAAGCAAATCCGCTTACAAATTAGAGTTAAAATTTGGAAATTTCACTTCTCATATCAGTCTTGAATCCCATTTTGGAAGAACTTTAGAGAGAGAAACAGAAAGAGATAGAGAGAGAAAGGGGGAAAGAGAAGGAAGTAGAAACGGAAGAATGAGTTGCAGAAATGGAGGGAAAGAAAAGAGAGAGGAGTTTAGTTTGAAGTGGAGAAGGGGAAGCTGAGAAGAGAGATCTGAGACTTGTTAATTGTAAGCCGATCCCAGATCCGACTGACTGCTAGAGGAGATGAAGCTTCAGCCTTTACTAGGTAGAGCCGTCACGCCAAACGCTTTCCTCTTTTCCCTTTTCTTTTTCTACTTTTCCAGAAATTATTAGTCTAGTTTTAGTTTAGACTTATAATTCTTTTATTAAATTTTCACTTCTAATCTATATTTATCTATACTATATTAAAAGTACGAAGGCCCTTAACGAAACATCATTTACCTTTTTTTACCCTTTAAAACTAGAGTTCAGACTAAACAAAATAGTCTTTTAATTATTATCCTAATATTTATAAATATTTATTTAATTATCTCCATAATATTTAGGAATAGACATTTAATTGTTTCCCTTATATTTAGGAATAACCATTTAATTATTTTTCTAATATTTAGGGCTTCGAAATTAATTAAAATTTTAAATATTAAATCACTCCTTATTCGAACTATATACAAACTTCTATATCGAAGAATTTAAAATAAAGAAAGATTTTAGCTATATAAATTCTTTCCTTATAAAATTCATTACTTCTAAAACCAAGGATTTAAGCAATAACTCTAAGCTAAATATTAAAAACGATTTGACTTAAATATTCTCTTACCAAATATTAAGTTTGACCCTAGATGTCGTATCAATTTAAAATCTAAGAACTAAAATAAATTAAAAATAAATTTAATTTAAGGAATTTACTTAATGACAAGTAAAAGAAGGGCGGACAATACTTTTAATTAATTAAATTTATGCATTAAATCCTTCACTATTTGAATTGTATATAAATTTTTAATATTACATATATCATACGAGTTCTTTTCTTATTTAAATTATGTAAATTTTTATTTTATAACTCAAATATAATTTTAATTTAATATTTATATAATTATTTTAAATATATTTACTCATTGAGATAGGGTACACGTGCAAAGCACGTACCCTAAGACCTGTACTATATTAAAAGCACGAAGGCCCTTAAAATAGCTTTCACATTGGACAAAATTATAATTTAAATTATTTACCTAATATTTATGATCTTAAAATCAAATTAAAAAATTATTAAATTTTTTCTTATTTGAACTAGGTAGAAATTCCTAATATTTAGGACTTTAAAGTTTATTAAAATTTTACCTTATAAGAGCATTGCTATAAAGAAATGACACTAGATTTCGGCCATATTTCCTTGTTGGAATCAAATTGTAAATGTTATCCCTTCAAAGTTCAAACGGACAAGTAAATGAGTCTGAGATTCGAAAACGAATATTTCTACAGATCTTCGGTATGTTTAGGAATTCTTAAATTAGAAAGAACACGTCAATTACACATTATAAAAATAAAATATAAAAGTATACAAGTAGGTCGCCTTCCCTGCCGATTCAACTTCTCTTATTTGTCGTCAATTTTAATAATTATTTTTATTTTTATTTAAACTTATCTATCTATCTATATCTATATCTATGTCTATATCTATATCTATATCTATACTATATTAAAAGCACGAATGCCCTATCGAAATGTCGTTCGCCTTTTTTACCCTTTAATATTAAATTTCACGCTAGACAAAATCATAATTTAATTATTTTCCTAATATTTAAGACTTTAAAATCAACTAAAATTTTAATTTTAAGATCTTTCCTTATTTTAATAAGATTTTACATCCTTTCCTAGAATTTAGGACTTTAGGAATTTAAAGTTTTATTGCATTTGTCGTAAGCTTTCAAAGTTTATTAGGATTTTAAATAGGAATTCCATAATTATCAGGACGAAAATATTCTTAATATATAGAGGTACCAATTTAATGCACTTTGGAATATAAAATCCTAGTTTGTGTAGGTGTCCAGTTCCCAGCGTCAAGATTTCAAGTGTTTGTTTTATGTACCGATTTGGCTATAAGAGAGGATATTTTGAGGGCTTCATATTAGTTAGAAAAAAATAAAAGGAGGTGTTAACGATACTTTTTGAAGATTCCATATATATGTTAATACTAATGGGTCCAAGAAACATGAATTGGAATTAGATAAGAAATTTAACACCGAATATCAAAGAAGTCAGGCTAAAATTTGTCAATTGTTCATCAAAACTGTAGCCTAGAAGTTACGGCGAAAAAGTCTTGGTAAATTGGCTCTTTTATTGTTCCTCTTGTATTTTTATCTTCTAACTTCAAAATTCATAAGTTTTAAGTTGAACCGACTAATTTCTTGGTACTTGGTAGAGATGATTGTTTATATTTTTTGTTAGGTAATTTTATTTCAATTTCATTATCTATTGAATTAACTTGACATCTTAAAAGCTAATGAAACAATGTAATCACAATATATAACACAGAAGAATCAAAAAGAGTGCAAGATCAAGTTCCCAATTTCGTTTGCTAAGCCGGAAAAATCTTTGCGACAAGAGTATTACTTCTTAAGTATGTGGCGTTTATATTGATGCATCAAGTATCAGATATGCATATGTTTGTCAAGGTATGATTCTCAAAAATTATTCATCCTAGAATTTGAGATATGAATTTACTTATGTATTAATTCTTTTTTCAAGAGTCAATGACTGAAAGGTATAATTATTACTTCACAATACGCTCCTTTAGACTTTTTTTTATATATGAAATTGTTGAGTTCCTTGAGTTTAAAGGCCTCTTTTTTGATGGAGCAATTAAGATGATTATTTCGGTGGACAGTTATTGGCAAGAGATTAAAAAATATGTCAAAGTGTGTTATGCGAAATAGATAATTTTTCCTCATGACTTTACATACATGAAATTATTTTGTTCAAGGCCAGACACGTTATTTTTCTCCTTTAGGGTTCAAGATTTTCAATTGTCTTTTGCATACACTTTATTATTTTGCTAATATAGATTATAAAATCAAGAAACTCAAATAAAATATTAATCGATATTTTTATTCTTTAAAAATAGATTTCACATTGAATATTCTTATATAGTTATATCAGTAATATCTTGAAGAGTTAAGAAAAAATAATTTTTAGGACTCAATGACAAGAAACTCCCGATCCCTACTTTCTTGATTCTTTATTTTAAATTTTCGTCTAATATATATTTTATAATTAAAATATATTTTAATAATATTTGTTTATATGATTTTTAAAAAAAGTATGGGGTACACGCGCAACGCACGTACCCTACGACTAGTGTTATATTAAAAGCACGAATGCCCTTAGCAAAATGTCGTTAGCCTTTTTTTATCCTTTTAAACTAGAGTTCATATTGGATAAAATAGTAATTTGATTATTTTCTTTAATTATTACCCTAATATTTAGGAATAGTCATTTAATTATCAAGGAGCACTAGGTATTAATGTATTTGCAATTTATGAGTTCTCTAATTCCTTGTCTTTTTTTTCCTACAGGTAGCTGCAAACGAATTTAATAGGTTTGCTAATGGATAGACGACAATTTACTGGAATAGAGCTTTGCGTCTTGATTTATGCTTATTTATAGAGATTATAATACTGGCGAGATAAGTTAATTGATGAGACCTATAAAGCTAATTAAAAGCTGCTTTTGTTAACTTGTCTTCTAGATTTTAAATATTTTATTTGTTCAAATCTGACTCTTTATTACATTAGATTTTAGTTTAGTTTCTCCTTATTTTATCGAACATTTTCGAAGGGAAAAGTTTCATTATCAAAATAAAATAAAAAATCTCAAAATGGCTTGTCTTAAAATTTTCTATATTCGTTGTTGGTCTTATGCCATTATTTAACTAGTGTTTATTAGAGACGCATGATCGATCATTATACTGTTTGTGATCGGGATATATTAACATGCCAATTTGGAGGTACTAATCTATTTTTGATAGTACTCTTTTTTGTTCATGATTTGATAGTACTCAAGAGATCTCTTGTTATGAATTTCATTGTATATTTATCTAACACAATATCTATGAGTATATTACTCTCTAACTTTGATTTTTTATTTAGTCTTGCTTGCTTGGATTTTGAAAAATGTTTTAACTTTTATATTTTTATTTTATAACTTGAACATAATCTTTCATATATAATAGTTAAGTATTAATCAAAAAATTATACTCATTGAGGCGGAGTATATTGGCAAAGCTCGTAGCTCGCTGAAGCAAGAAACATATGCAAAGTAGCAAGTAAGGAGCTTTTTCAAATTTTTAGTGACAATAAATTATAACTCTAGAATCTTTTTATATGACGAGTTGGATCTTAATTAAAAATGCAATTCTTGAATCATATTGTGATGAGTTGGCATGATATGAATCTATTGGAACAAGAGGATGGAGTAATTGAGTAGATTCAAGTTTTTAAGTATTATCATTTTAAGGAACTTATATTTTTGCTTAATATTTATTTTACAACTCAAACATATGCTTTGAATATATTTATATTATTTTAAAAAAGATGTGTTCTCACAAATTTGGGTACACGCGCAATGCGCGTAACCAAAGACTAATTACTTAAAATTCACAATCAATACAAATTATTATTTAACTTTCAAAATACAACAATAATGATTTGCATTTTTCTTGGTATAAAAATAGTTTTGCTATTAAAATTTTCTTTTATAATGATGTTATTCAAATCTTTGTCGAGATAGATCGAAAAAAACCGCCTAATAATTCTTTATTTCTTTGTGTATTAGGAATATAAGAACCAACTCAAGCTTCATAACTTTTGGAGAAGCTTTCTTAGAAAAAAGAGAATGCTCACAATGAAAAGTTATTATTAAAGGCGAATAACAACAAAAATAACAATAATGAATATTTTTCAATCCCGGATAAATTGTTCAACTATTATAAGTTAGTTGAAAATATATGATTATAAAAAACTAGCACACTAAAATGAATAAGTGCTATACAAATTGTAAATGGAATTCTGCTTGGTCAAAATAAAATAAAAAGTTTGGTGCGAAGTAATTGGAATTAGAAGATCCTAGCCATCACTACTTAAGAATTACTTCAAAACTATGTTTTGTAAACTTTTCAAAGCCATTTTGTTTTTAACAGGCCCAAAAAGAACAGTAGTGTATGAAGCTCAAGCCACAGAGTTGGAGACTCTTACTTAGTGAGTTGCATCCACTCGGACTCAATTTTAAAGCCGCTATTTTCCTTTTATTTTATTTTACTCTTTTATTGTAAAATTTTATGCCTTTTCCAAAGTCTTTTATTATAAAAACTTTGACTAAAAACTAAAACTCTCCTATTTTAGTGCTTACAGGTCAGTTGATCAATTTATAAAGAAATGACATAATTTCCTTCTATTTAGTTGATTAATTTACTATTTCGCTCTACTCAAGAATTGAGCTCTAACAAAATTTTACAAATTAGCAAACTAATTTAAATATATATCTTTTTAGACATTGGAAAATAAAAGGACCCTTTATCATTTTTTTTAAAATCAAATTTATCTTTTAACAAATATTTTAATATTACTTATACTACTTGTGTAACGTAGTTAACGTTTTAAATTTCACATCCAATCAATAGTATTACATAAGTGAAACATATAAACTAACTCATGCTCATCCAATTCCCCTGTAAAGGGAAAAAAGTAGGAAAATAGTTGACGGCCAGCTAGTTCGTGTTTCTGGATTTCCCATCGAAGATATTTACATAAATAATTGGTTGAATTTACTGTTTATATTTTTTAACCAATATATATNATTCTTCTAATTGGGTTACTTCATTTTAAAAGGCTCAATTCTTTTTTGAAATATTCATTGTTGTTACTTCTTTTAGGGTTATAAACAAAATTAAGAATGATATTTAATATGTTATCAAACTTTAACCTGGCAAAAAAAAAGCAAAAAAACTTATCAAAAAATAAAAATAATAGTTTTGAAAAACTGACATGCTGAAATAGGTTTCTAATACTCTTGGGCATGTCGCTAACGAGCCCATTGGACTATGCATTTTCACCACAGAAATCTTTCCTTCATCAGCCCATAGGTCCGAAGTCCAAAATATGTATAGGGTTAAAGTTGGCTCTTCTGAAGTCATACGTCGCCTTGCCAATCATTCGCTATTTTTCGCTAAAATTGCATGAATATGAATCTTCATTTACCAAATTACTATCAACTTAATGAATTTTGTAAACCTTTTTTTCTCTTTGTTCTGTGCTGTGTGAGTCAAACTGACAAATTCAACAACCATCATTGCCATAAAAATAATAATAAAAACAGATATACATAATTCCTCATCGAAATGGAAAATATTTTTTGGATTTAATCTCTTATTGTCCATCTTCTGGATCTCCTTGTTCTCCAAATAATAGCATGAGGGTCTGGACAAACTTTGTATGGAATTCTTGGTGGGCCAACTTCAGGGACACTGCATACATTATACCAATTCAATTACGAGGAATTTCCAGAAATCACTATTGTTTAGTGGCTATTAACTTCCTATAACTACCATATACATAATTAATTTCTATAGCTACTATTCAGTTGTTACGGTAGTGTATTCACATGTATTCGCGCTGCTGTATAAAAGCGCCTAAAATCAGGGCAGTCCAGTTGTACGCGCATGTATTCGCGCTGCTGTATTCATAAATACAACAGTAAAAAAAGGTCTAAAATTAGGGCAGTCCAGCTATACGCGCATGTATTCACATGTATTCGCGCCATGTATTCATGAATACAACAGTAAAAAGCGCCTAAAATCAGGGCAGTCCAGCTGCACGCGGATGTATTCACATGTATTCGCGCTGCTGTATTCATAAATACAACAGTAAAAAAAGGTCTAAAATTAGGGCAGTCCAGCTATACGCGCATGTATTCACATGTATTCGCGCCATGTATTCATGAATACAACAGTAAAAAGCGCCTAAAATCAGGGCAGTCCAGCTGCACGCGGATGTATTCACATGTATTCGCGCTGCTGTATTCATGAATACAGTTGTACGCACATGTATTCGCATGTATTCACGCTATGTATTCATGAATACAGTAACGACAATCCCTTAAAAATAGGTATGTCCAGTTGTATAAGAAAGAGGAAAAACATAAATAGTGTATTTCATGCATTATTTCATGCCTCAATGGTAGTATATACCATAAAATACTTATTTTGCTATAAAATATAAAAGGTAGCTATGAAAAATAATATTTTAAAATATTTTAGTTTATAATAATTATGGTGTATACCTTTGCTATAGGAGGTAAAATTTCCTTCAATTATCAATGGTTGGTGGGACACAAATCTTCTTTGTTTATTCCTTTGGAAAAATGACACTGTATAGCCGCTGTAAAAATAATAGCCGAAAAAATGTATAAAATTTGTATATTTTGTGTGTATATATATGTTCTGTATGTTATATACAAAATTATATAAATTTTATACATTTTTTTGGCTACCAGATGTAAATAATTTCCGGAGCGGGCTAAAAGTGATAATACCCCTATTCCTTTTAGGAGTCATTACTCATTTCATTGATGATTTATATATAATCCTCCGTCTCCAAATATTATTAAAATTCTTTATCCTCTCAGATGTAATAATAGATTGATGTATGCATAATCTTAATTTTAGATTGCAAAATATAGAAATTTCAATTTTCGTATTTTTAGAAAAGCATGTAAAAGACACTCTTTGATTTTTTGAAACAACAACAATAATATACCCATATAATCCCACAATTGGGGTCTAGGGAAGATAGTGTGTACACAGACCTTCTTGTAAAGATAGAGAGACCATTTCTGATAAACCTCGGCTCAAGTAAAGCATAATCACAACAATATTGAAAAAAGAAATATGGTAGGAGAAGCCATGTAAAAAAGAAGCAAGAAAATAAGATAACTGAAGTAAAAGAAACAACATATAGTAATAAAAATCTAAGAATAAGAAAATATGAGAATAATACTATGACTACCGGTATAGAAAAGAAATATGTTCAACTACCTACTAACCTTTTACCATAATTCTCAATCTCTACACCCTCCTATCAAGTGTCATGTCCTCGGTAAGCTAGAGATGTCCTTGAAAAAGAAAACGTTCCTTGACTTTTTGAAAGAGCGGAAAAAATTTATTCGTATCGGATGTTTTTTCCAATTCAATAAGTATATAACATGTTACTATTGAATATATGCTTATACTTAAATGCAATATTCTCATGTCAATTCATAACTAACTATGATAAATTAATACTCCATATATTTCAATTTATGTGAATCTATTTCCTTTTTAGTCTGTGCCAAAAAGAATGGCCCATTTCCATATTTGAAAATAATTTACCTTTATATAATTATTTATAGCTATACAAAATATATGTGCCTCATTTTACACCACAAGTTCAATAGTCTTCTCTTTTTTCTTAGTCTCCATGCCCAGTCAAATAAGTTCACATAAATTGTAACAGAGAGAGTATATTTTATCATAGAAACAAGAGCGTGCATTCCTAAAGACTACTGCAAGACCTAATTTTAGAGCTTGTTTGACCAAACTTGTGGGAGGCCAAAAGTATTTTTTTTTCCTTCCAAAAAGTACTTTTTGAAAAATTCAAAGTGCTTGGCCAAAATAAAAAATACTTTTGAGCAGCATCAGAAGCAACTTTTCTGCTTTTGGGGAGAATCTACAAATTCTAACTTCTTCCAAGCAGCAGAAGTAGAAACAAAAAATTAATTTGTTCAAAACAAAAATAACCTTACAATAAATTTATATTTTCTAAATTATCCCTCATTAATTTAACATTTTTCTTTTCTTTTCCATTTTCTTTTTATTTCTACTATACATTTCTTCTCTTTTTTATTTTAATCATATTTTTATTCTCTTTCTCCTATTCTCAAGAGTAGATTTTAAATTTATATTAAATGATGTATTTTGACATATTTAAATTATCATGTAAATAATAAGTAACACCAAACACTCAATGTTATTGCTTTAGAATAAGTATATTTTATATTGATTGAAATTTTTCATTTATATTTTATATTTTACTTGTATTCTCTTATAATAAATGTTTAAATTTATTTTTCTTTTCTAAATAATACTAATCTCAAATTGAAGATTTACTGTGCTTTGTCGTAATTTGATACTAAAAAGTATTTTTTAAAAAGATTGGTCAAATACAATGAGCTTGCAAAAGCACTACTCAAACGAATTGGGCAAATACAAACAGTTATTTTGCTAAAGTAATTTCGAACAAATACACTTTATAAAATAGGCCATGCTCTTAATGAGCTCAACAAATGGTTCTCTTCCAACATGAGCTGTCAAGATGACAGGTAACAAACTCATTTATTTCTTGATAGCTTTTGCTTGTACTGGAAACCCTGTCCTTAATTTCTATTGTCTACAGCTATACCATATTACCTTATTTATTCCTGATCACATCACAACTAAGGTAGCGTAATTCATTTTTTAAAATATCCAATTTATTTTACCACTTTAATATAATGGTTCCCTAAACAAAATAGAAGAAGAAAGGTTCATTTTTGGTTGATCCTTATTATCATTTTAATTTTTTAGTGAGATTATATACAAGTGTTTGGACCACAGATTATAGTATACGGAGTAGGTAACTGAATTGGATCATCAAAGTAAGAAAAGGAAAAGCAAATGGATGAGATTAGGAATCAGATTCTTACCTCAGTGAAGCTATTTCAATCTGTGAGAAGTCCATGTTGGTTGAACTGTCAGGTAAAGAAATAGTCCTTTTCCTTGTTGTGGTCAATGGTGTTGGTTGTTTGATGGCTAGCACTTTGCAATTCAAATTGCTTGCTATATTGTTCTGGGCCATGGCCATCCTATGCAAGAAATAAATAAATAAATAAAGTATCTAGTTTTAGTTCCACTATTTAATATTTCCAACATAATATAACATTGTAGATGAAGTGGTCCAAATACTGTGTAACGATTACCGTGAATTCATCGACCTTAACTAGTTTGAGATTAAACTAAATTGGTTGTTCAAGTTATTATAGGTGAAACAAAAAGGTCGTCTAGTCTAGCCGCAAGTCTTACTCATGATTTTCTAGCTCTCTTTAACTATACAATTATGTATAACTAGGGGTGGCAAACGGGTGACTTGGGTCGGATACAGGCGGGTCGAAACAGGTAATACAAAAACGAATAAATCATTCGACCTGACCCATATTTAATATGGATAGAAAATAGGTTAACTGGCCACTAAGAATTCTCCCAAAAGTGATCATATTCAAAAAGTTATGGATTTACAAATATAAAAGTTAAAGTCATTTGTTATCCATTGGTTATCTATTTTCTAAATAGATAATATGATTCATATCCATACCTGACTTGTTTTTAAAAAATTTCATTATTCAACCTATTTTTAATGAATAATATGAATAAATAACTATTTTCTTTTATCCATTTTGCCACCACCACCGGATGCAACCGAACATTTCTAATTCCATGACCTATGGGTTAGTGTCATAGTTTCCACCACACAATACAAGTGGTTCTTGCTTCATAGTTCCACCCCATTTGTTGTCAAATATGTTAATGTAAATAGGTTAGCAGATAGGAATTGAAAGGCTAGTTAGGTTTCTAGTTTCACAGCAATAATTGTGTTTCTTTCAATGATCAACTGTCCACGTGCACAAGAATTTGAGATCCCAAAATAAATTTTAAGGAAACGTTATTCTGAGGATCATCTGATACACATGAATCAAAAATTAAGCAGTTAAATAATGAGTACACTGTTGCATGAAACGGCCGGCCAATGAGCAGTGACCGAAACGTGGCAGAGTAGACGAGATGGCCAGTCTAGCACAAATCTTATTCAGCAAACAACATCAAATATTTGTTCCATTGACAATTAATAATTCATAAATCCTTATCCGAATAATGTAATAAAATTCGTAAAGTACTCCCTCCGGTCTACTTTAAATAATTTTCTTTTTGCTCTTTTTACACATAAAAAAATTCTTCTTTTAATATTAATTAATAATAAAATTGACCATATTAACCTTAATTTGTTCATTTGAAATATAACAAACTATTCCTAAGCTCTTTACTTCAATGACAACTTTGAAAAGAAGAAGTTAATTTCTTCTTAATATTTAAAAAAATTAAATATTATGAATCACAAAAAAAAAAGGCAAAAAATTACTAAAGTGGACCGGAGGGAGTATTAAATAGTTAAATACATCCCGAACTTTTTTTTTTTGATAACCGTGTCCAAGCAGCTTGCACCTCCCACCAATAACGATTAATTTTACAGGATATCTGCTACCTCCCATCAGTAACAAATACCAAATAACTTTATCCATCAAGGCTTAAATAGATAAAAAGAAATCACCTAATATTTTTTATTTTCAATGAAAGTTAAACCTGAAAGCTTATGGTTCTAATCTACTTCATTAACTATTAGGCCACACCCTCGGATGATGAAATGTGACTTACAACTATAATTACAAGAAGTGCCTTCGAACCTCTGCTCCAAGTAGATTAGAACATGTAATTACAATTTTCCTAGTGCAAATTTTAACTGAAAGAGGGCTCAAAATTCATCACAGCTCAATCCAAAAAGGGGGAAAAGGTGTGGGGGACTGAAGAGGGGAGCACTTTTAGCTCCAGATTGTCACTTATTGGGTTAAAACTAAAAGTGGAGAGTTGACCAACCTATCGTTCTAGGTCTTTAATGCATCCATTCTTTATCTATCCATTCTCTATCTATACTGAAATAATTCAGTACACACTACCCACAACCTTAATCATTTAATCAATATGGGCTCGTTTGATTGGAGGATAAATAATAATTAATTTCGAGATTAAATTTGAGATAAGTTTATCTCATGTTTGATTGTGATAAAATTGCGGTTAGTTATCCCAGAAAGCTGATATGAATTTATTTCACGTAGTGTTATTTACGTTTGGAGAATGAGATAACAATCTCAGTATAACTAATCTCGAAATAACTAATTCCGAAATAATTAATTATGGGATAACTTGTTTTCAAACTAAACGGGCTCGTTTGGTACGAGAGATAAAGAATAATTAATCCCGAAATTAAATTTAAGATGAGTTTATCCCACGTTTGGGTGGGTTAAAGTCGTGGCATAACTAATCCCGGATTAGTATTAGTTTGTTTCCCAACCAAACGACTTAGTAAACACAAAAGATCAACAGGAGATTGAGAAGTCAAAAACAAGAAAAGGCTTCATTCTGGGAAAGAAAGAGAAGAGGGATTAATTTGAAACTTACTTGTAAAGAAAGCTATGATCATGAAGTCCAACAACAAGAGCAGAAGCTCCAATCTCTCTAACCACGGCAGCAATCTTTCCTCCATCTGTATCCCCTTCAGTGACTACAATCTCAGTCTTGGTCTGTAATAGATCAACCCCAGAGCTATGTCTTTTATTTCATATCTGTATCAGATAACATTACAACATAAACTAAACTAACAACATCCAAAACAGAACAACATGGGAAAAAGACAGAGTCTCTTACGTTGGGATAATTGTTGCAAAGGTCTTGAAAAGTCAGAGCCAGTTGAAACCCTTTGAGGCGGAGATTCCTGAGCTTCTTATTGTTGCTCCTGGATTTTAAATTTGGGAAAACGTGGAGAAGTGTCACTAAATCCCCAAAACGTAAGAAATTATGAAGAGCCCATTGCAGAGCTGTTCTTGATACTTCCAAATCTTCCACAATTACCACTATTTTCCTCATATCCATATTCATTTTCCCCTTAACCCCAAAAACTCCTCTCAAATTCCCAGCTCTTTGAATTCGTCTATTAAATTCTTGGTCTAATCAGAGGTGGATTTGTGAGATATACAGAGGTCTGGTTTGCTGTTTTGATGTAACAAACAAAACATAAACGTATGACTGTGTCTGCTTATGTTAATTTATGAAAATGGAAGTTTGCCTGCACGATTGAGATTGGTTGGAGAAAAAAAGTACTTGGGACACAAAAAATGGACAACATAGAAAAGTAGGGAGTAATAATATAGTGGAAAAAATAGGGGTCTGTCTCTGCAGGTTGTGCGCGTACGCCAGATTGGACCGCAAAGACGAGAAGCCGGCCAGAGAGGGAACTGTTTTTCTGGATTAAAGTTATATGAATTTCTTACATAATTAATACTGTAATTTAATTTGTCTAAGGCTACCAATTAATGATATTTATTTAGAGTTACTTTTAATTATCTTTTAAAAGGTTTGATTAGAGTTACTTTTGACAAAAGGGATTGCTCTGATGGTAAGCAACCTCCACTTCCAACCAAGAGGTTGTGAGTTCGAGTCACCCCAAGAGCAAGGTGGGGAGTTCTTGGAGGGAAGGATGCCGAGGGTCTATTGGAAACAGTCTCTCTACCTCATGGTAGGGGTAAGGTCTGCGTACACACTACCCTCCTCAGACCCCACTAGTGGGATTATACTGGGTTGTTGTTGTTATTGATTGAGGAAATATTTTTACACCTTTAATTTATAGAACCTAAACTTATTTTTAAATTTATTTATTTGAGTTTAACTTATGTACATTGATACTAAAAAGAAATTTGGATCACTCTATAGTACCTATTTATATAATGTTAGCTCTTTTTATTTTATTTTATTATGTTTTTGACCTTTTTGAATTTTCACAAAGTTTATAAATTATGTGCGATGGCGGTGTATAATTTTTTGTATCAACAAGCTAAGTGACTCCAACAACAAGCAACTTTTCATCGCAAACCTGGTATGATTTCATAAAAAATCGAGTAATAACATGTAATAACTCATAAACTTGTACAGCTAATGTAAAATTTCTTCAGTACTATATTGATGTACTATGTTAATAGAGCCGTCAAAATGGGCTTGGCCCGTGAGAGCTACGATTTTTTGAGCCAATTTCAAACTGAGGCTTATAAGCTCGGTCCAAGTCAGCCCGTTAGCCCTTGAGGCTTGACCGAGGTTGGACCGGCCCGTGGGCCAAAAATTAATTAATTATTAAATATTAAATATTTTTAAAAATAAAAACTACAAAAACTATTAAGGGGTCGTTTGGTAGGAGGTGATAGAAGAATTAATGCAAGCATTAGCTCTATGCATTACTAATACCTTATTTAATACATTTTTTCAACCTGTGTATAACTAATACTATTAGTTATACATCATACTTGGTATTATCCTATGTATAAGTAATGCATAGAAAACCATGGCATTAGTAATACCAAGGCTATTAATGCATGCATTAGTATGGTTAAAGACAAAATTATCCTTAAAAATTCCTTAAAGCTTGAGAATATGGAGGACATTTTTGTAAACAGCTATTTTTCTTAAAAATTATGCAATGCATTATAATTTTAATACACCACACCAAACAGTAGATAAGAAATAATATTTGCATAACTAATGCTTGCATTACGAACCCATGCATTACTAATCCATGCATTACTAATACACCTTATTCCGCACTATTCTTATACACCCTACCAAATGACCCCTAACTATAATCCCCATTCCCCAACCCTAGATTGCTCATTTACCCTTTCATATCAACTAGAATTTAGATTTTTGATATGCATGTAATATGACAAAATTAGTTTTTCTTTTGCTTAATTAATAACAAACTCGAAAAGTTTTAGGGGGCCAATAATAATCTTTTTTCAAAAGAAAATATTATTTTAAGTGACCAATGATCAATTTAGATTACTTTAATATATTATTAATATTTAAACTGCTCTTCAGTATAGAAAAAGATCAATTTTAAANAGTTATTCAATATAGAAAAAGATCAATTTTAAATACATAAAAAAAATGACCACAAGCAAATTTCAGGAATTTTAAAATTTTTATGGATTATAATGATGAAATCAGCAAATGATGTTAATCCTAAATTAAAAAATCTCAGCATATAAACTTATTGAAGCAATCCCTAAATATGAGAAAAATGAAAGAAAAATATTAAGAAAATATTCATGTAACTTTAAAAAAGAAGAGTTAGAGATATAGAGAATTTGCATTTCAATTACGAGATTCCTCGTCAAATATCAAGCTTTTTGTACGCTCTAAGCAAAAAGAAGTTGTTTACATGATTTATCGACTATGTCACAAAAAAATATTTAAGGATCTAAAGAAATTCTTTTTTCTAAAAAAAAAAATTGAAAGGTCGGCCTGCCCTAGCCCGCGACCCTCTTAGGGCTGGGTTAGGCTAACCATTTTAAGGCTCATTCATATTGCGGCCCGGTCCGACCTAGCCCACCAAATTTAAAAGCCCATGAGGCTTGGGTTGGACTGGGCTGGGCTGGCCCGTTTTGACAGCTCTATCTGTACATATATAACTTAGTTGGCGTTTGGACATAAGAATTGTAAAAGTGATTTTTTTTTAAACTGAAAATGGTATTTGAAAATTAGAGTTGTGTTTGGACATAAATATAATTTTGGGATGTTTTTTATTTTTTGTGAGTGATATGAGTGAAAATTTTGAAAAATAACTTTTTGGAGTTTTTCAAATTTTCGAAAAATTTCAAAATTCATCTTCAAGTGAAAATTGAAAATTTTATGGCCAAACACTAATTTCGAAAAAAACGTGAAAAATTTTCGAAAAAAATGAGAAAAATTTCATGGCCAAACGGGCTCTTAAAATTCTCGAGAAATGGAGGGGTTATCCGGCATACTCTAATTCTCCGTCCTTTCCCTTTAGGTGGCTATTACTCCATCTGTCTCAAATTATCTATCGTGTTTCTCTTTTACACGCTCCTTAATAAATATTAATTAGAAAAGGGATTAAACGGGCTGGGCTGGCCCGTTTTGACAGCTCTATCTGTACATATATAACTTAGTTGGCGTTTGGACATAAGAATTGTAAAAATATATTTTTTTTTCAACTGAAAATGGTATTTGAAAATTAGAGTTGCGTTTGGACATATATATAATTTTGGGTTTTTTTTTTAATTTTTTGTGAGTGATAAGAGTAAAATTTTTGAAAAATAACATTTTGGAACTTTTCAAATTTTTGAAAAATTTCAAAATTCATCTTCAAGTGAAAATTAGAAATTTTATGGCCAAACACTGATTTCGAAAAAAACGTGAAAAATTTTCGAAAAAAATGAGAAAAATTTCATGGCTAAACGGGCTCTTAAAATTTTCGAGAAATGGAGGGGTTATCCGGCATACTCTAATTCTCCCTCCTTTCCCTTTGGGTGGTTATTACTCCATCTGTCTCAAATTATCTATCGTGTTTCTCTTTTACACGCCCCTTAATAAATATTAATTAGGAAAGGGATTAAACTATTTTACCCTTATTTATGTCTTAAGATAAAATCTCTCTTCATTTAATATTTATTCTATTTATGTGTTGTCTCCATTTTCAAGAACAATTATTAATAAGAGTAAAAAAGAAAAAAAAAATTAATTTTGTCTTGAACTTCTAAAATGACAAATAATTTGAGACAATTATTTTTAGTAACCACGAATAATATGAGACGGATGGAGTAATTGATAACCTCATGTGTCTTTTTTCTTACATATATGAAAAAGGAAAGTTCTAGTTGTTATAACACAATATGTTCTAATTCTACAAATAGAAAAACACTACGCTATTTGTAAAGGTCACCATAATTACTGGGTTTAATAGCTTTAATTTAGTCCAATTTATGTACCAAACATCTATTCTGTCCCAAACTAATGTTTGTGTGTATGTGTATTTTTACCATTTAAGGTGAAAAAGATTACTAGAGATTTGTTAGACTCCGACAGAGCATGGGGTTTAACGTGAACAAAAAGCATTTACTCATGTAGATATCATGGTATTAGCTTTTGAGAGGCTCTCAACCGTTCAATACATTATACATGAAAATGATGTTCTATACATTGATCATGCAACATTAATTTGTTTTCGTGGAAATGAAGTTTAAACTTAAAAGATTCACAACAATGAATATACTATATATGACGTTAAGACAATTTGCCATTTAATGAATGAGAAGAAAGTATTAGAAGTACTGCATTTAAGTGTAAAATGTTGTGACAAGTTCAATGTAACTGGATTGCACACCCCCTTTGCTAAAATTTCGACATGTAGTTCGTTTTGACTGCGCAAATGTTTTTTTATAGGTCAATGACTACAATTTAAACTTATTCGCAAAAACTATTTCATGAAACTCGATGTTTATACTAAATCAAATAATTCAACTTTAAGATTCAAATCAGATTGAAAATTTATTACGATAAATTTTGATATGAATATTTGACGCGAATAAATTTTTATCATATCAACGACGAGAGGCGAGGCCGGTTGGAGTGTAGTGGGAGTGGGGTGTCCTTATAAAAACACAAGTGGAGTGACGAGAGAAAAACAGCAACATCGTCAGTAAACTGTGGTTCTGTGTTTTTGGTTCTTACTCCTTTGTCCTCGTTCACCATTTCCTTTTTCCTTCGTTCCAGGCTCACCATTTATTTAGACATAAAGAAAAACTTTTTAAATACACGTACAGTTGTTATTATTCTTATGAAAACACTCACTTTGAGGAGGAGGTGACTAGTGAAAATGACCTAGATAAAGTGGCTTGTCTTTTGCGATGGATCTAAAATTTTATCTGCTGTATGTTTAACTTCTTATGAGAGTTTTGTAACATTTTCGTAGACAATCGAAATTGAGAGTGACCTACATACCCATGGCTTGTCTTTCGCAACTGTAGTAGAAATTATCTACTATACCTTTATAACTTCTTAAAAGAATTTCAACATTTTTGTAATAAAACCTGAATTGCATAATTTCATTTATTGTTCTTTAATCACGAGACTTTGGCTTTAAATATGATTCTCCGTGGCATTTGGATAGTATTTTTGTCGAAAAATTAGCCTAGAGATCTTTAAGTACAAAGGGTACAAGCTAAGCCATTTGCTTTAGTAAATACCGTTTGTCTTCACTAATTTAGACAACCCTTTTAATTAAATGTTGTCCCACTTGTCTCTTCGATTTGATTATAAGCTTTTCTGCATATAGTAATTTTTCATCAGTGGAGAAAAGATGCTTGAGAGGGAGAGAGTGACGTTCGTGTAAATTAAGCCAACACGGTCATATTATAATAGTGATGCTTTATCCTATATTCTAATCCACCAAGAAGAAACA